GCAGCCAATAGCCTATATTTTCCACCTATGGTCAGTGCAATCCAGAGAGCAGGGCCCGGGGTAAAACCCTCGACGGCATATGAGCTCAGTGAGCCAATATTAGATGAAGAGGTGTAGGAAGTTATTAAGTGGATTGAAGAATATAAATAGAGTTGGCCAAAGACAGGCATTACTCTCATGAGTGATGGTTGGTTGAATAAAGTTAGCAAAAAGGAGTTTTTAAATTTCTTGGCCTATTCCCCAAAAAGTACAGCTTTTTTGTCTAGCAAAGACGTATCTAGAACGAAGAAGGATGCAAACTTCTACGTACGACTATATGATCAGATAGTGGAGGAGGTAGGACAGAAGCATGTAGTCCAGTTTATTACGGACAATGCGCGTGCAAGTGTTTCTGCGGGCAGCAAGTTGATGGATAAGAGGAAGCATTTAGTATGGACGACGTGTGCTGCACATAACATCGATCTTATGTTAGAGGAGATCGGTGAAATCAAAATTGTGAAGGAGACTCTAGATGAAGCAAGGTTCGTGTCGAGATTTATATATAACCACTCTAAAATATTATTTCTGGTTAGAGAACACTCTAAGAAAAAAGAGATAATCAGCCCTGCCATAACCCGCTTTACGACCGATTACTTAGCTGTGGACTCCATTCGGGAATCTGAAAGTGCATTAAAGAGATTGTTTACCTGTAAAGAGTGGTTAAATGACCGCTTCTCGAAGACCGGTATAAAAGTGGACGACATAATCTCAAATAAGAAGTTCTGGTCTCGATGTTCCAGTGTCGTATAAGCCACTGCCCCTTTGGTCATGTTGTTAAGAATGGTGGATGCTGACAAGAAAGCTACCATGGGCATCCTTTGTGAAGGTATCGAAAGAGCGAAATCAGCTATTGAGGAGAAGTGTAGTTTTGCTAGCAAAGTGATCGAGATTATAGAACAGAGGTGGAACACCAAATTTGGACGTCCAATTCATTATGCAGGTAAATATATATTTATATCATTAGAATGTTTCATTGTAAATTATTTTTTTATGAAATTTTAAATGAAATTTCTCTATCGATATATTTTTCAGGTTACTTCTTCAACCCAAAATTAGACTCCTGAAAATCCCCACAAGGTTATGGAAGGGGTCAGATACATTATTGCCAGGTTGGAGAGAAGCCATCGAAACCAGGTAACAGCAGTACAAGAGCTATTATTTAATGTTTGGGTAAGAACTTTATTGAGTTGTTATATTTGTGAGGAATAACGCACTAAAACAAAATATATTTGTTTTAGCTTGCTATGTATAGGGATGCTATAGAATCCTTCGAAACTAGACTTGTCAGGAATTCTCGAGCTAAGATGGATCCAGGTTATGCCCTAGCTAATATTTTGTTCATTCATATATTTAATCTTTTGAATTGTTTTTGCCCTTACAATGCTTTTTGCATTTTAATACAGCTGAATGGTGGGAGATATATGGTACTGATGCACCTCACCTAAAGAGGATAGCAATCAAGGTGCTCTCCCAGACATGTTCTGCTACTGGCTGTGAGCGCAACTAGAGTACATTCCAATGGTTGCACACTACTAGGAGAAATTGAATCGCTTCAGAGAAGCTTCATAAATTAGTCTACGTTCATTACAACTTAAACCCCCTA